AAACGCGTGGGTTTTGCGCCATGTTGTATCTGCGACCTTATGGCACATTAACTCGATAAAAGTATATATGATGTGAAAAAACGTCGTGAGGTAGTAGAAGAACTTGAAAAAAAGCATCAACAGCATTAATTGTGGGTTATTATACTAAAAGCCAGTATGTGTAAACCGTGTTCCTTCATTGTTGAATTCGCAATAGCATTTTTTAGGACAAATAGTCATTTTGAGCGTAAAACCCCACTTTTAGGTTGATTGCTCTGCCGGTACCGTAAAGTGTGCTGGTAAAATAACGTGTTTTTGCCATTACTTCGAGGTCGTCAATTGTTGTAGATCCCGGCACAGAGTCATGTACTATTCCGGGGTCGCTCTCTAGTATTAGCCCGTTTACACCATTCAGATACACGGAAAGTCAAGTATAAGGCTAAAGACGGTAGAAAAATGACTGATTAACAGATAGCTATGGCACTGCGCACAAAAAGGCGCCTATTTAAATGGGATTGTCAATCGACCAAGCCTGGGTGAATCTCTAAAATTAAACATTGCAGGCCGTGTTGTATGGTCGAGAGAAGTGGCTTGAAAAGGAGGTCTAAATGGTTAGGAATGCGACAACCGGATTGATGGACCTGAATCAATGTGATTCACCCCAGCTGGCGACCTATGCGAAATGGAATAAAGATTCTTTTCATCCAACAGAAACCAGGAAAGGTAGGCGAAAGGCTTTGTCTGACCAGGCTGAGGCTTTTTTAGTGGCTGTGTGCCAGAGTACTCGTCGCCTTGAGATACTTTCAGGTTGTTTAAAATCAGTCAAATATATCCACCAAGCAAGCTTCAACAGTAGGGGCCGGTGAGACAGTCAAGAGATGCGAACATGTTTAATAAAGACAGAGTCTAACGATGAGGCCAGAATGATTAGTCGTTGCATGGAGGTAATAGAAATCAGTGTTTAGCGTCAGGCTGTTTAACGTCGTCTGGAAGTGACTGGGACCATGAAATGAACCTGGTTGATTAGACGAGCATCCAGAAACGAAGCTAGGCTGCCAGAAGTGAGTAAAAGACGGAATTAGATTCTAAAGTCAGCCGTAGATGATGAGGGACGATTGCACACTTAGATTCGAAGGAGAGCAGAAGGGCATGAAGGTGTAAGACAGATAATTACAACGAAATTAAATCTGAATCGAAAAATTCCCAATCGCCATGTTGTAGAAGGTCTATATGCGTTAAAAGTCGGAATCAATAGCCAATTCGCACAACTCAGACAAATAAAAAAACGAGTAGAAGACCAGCCACGTCAGAAAAATTAGCATTTACAAGAAAGATCTACTTGGTTGTGTGTTATGTGCGCCACTGAGCATAAAAAGTGCGTCTAAGTAAACCTATAGAAGTACACGCACAGGGGTGAACGAGGAGACTGTTTCCCAGACTCGAATAGGGGTACCGTGAAAACGAGGTAAGCGTGGTAGCGAATGCGGCAACAGAGTTGAATCTGCAATTTTTGCCTTCTTTTTAAAGTTATTTTTGACTGTACAATTCGTTAGAACTCAAAACACGATTGGTTCATAAATAGGAAATCCAGGTTTGTACGGTTCATAGGTTAAGAAATGACTTCGAACACTTTGGTAGCACAACCCCAAGTCCATTTGCGACATTTTTGAAAACCATATGGCGCTTTAAGTGCAACCTTTTCTACTTCAGTGAACCGGTATAAATTTGCATAACATTCACTTAAAAATTCGTCATTATTTAGAAATAATTTACACCCTCCTTTAAACAGAGATTCATTATTTCTTGTACACGATAACAGGAAAGGTTGGTTGAGCCATCTAACAAACGGCTCACGACCAAGATTGGGTTGATTTAAATTATTCAAACAAAAAGTGTTAAAAACAGTCTATTCGTGATCTCGACTTAAAACGGAATGATAGCGACAAATCTTCCTACAATTACTCAACCTGAGCCAAATGTGAATCGCGTCAATGAAATTTTCAAAGCCTTAACCTACTCCAAAACAATCCATATGCCACCTAAAAATGATACAATTAGGGGATATGATGAATGCCACATCACATTCATCCCACTTTTCCTCAACGCTTATAACAACAATCGTAATGAAGATGGTGGACACACAAACGTTCATGAATTTGATTGACCAGATAAAATTAACCTCACAGACAGCCTGCCAAAGCTACTAAACAGCAACTTAATTACCGATGGCCAATGAGTGGCTTCAGTCAGCTGGTCGACAATCGATCGACCACATGACCTAGCCCCATGGTCACCAATTGCAAAAATCAATGGTTTGACAATGCCCGAATGCTTCAGTGACCTGAGCGATGCCCTTTAGATGGTTGTGAAATGAGGATTGTAAAACTAACGCCCATTGTGGGCTAGTGGTTATATTGTAAGTCCTCATTTGTAAATTAAATTATAAACAATTTTCAAGCGTGATTTAAAGAAAAACACGAGCAAGGGGATAGAAATCACACAGGAACATTTGCCGCCCAATGTAAACTAACGTCTTTTCACGCTGCGGATCTATCTACTTAACAAAAATAACTGCCAAAAATCAGCCTCTTTTTTTGGCCACTTCATGCCAAACCAAATTAGGATCTTCCCTGTTCTGGCCGAATTTAACCACTTCTTGTTTCAATGTAGTTGAAATTGTCGACCTGACCAATGAGGTAGCGGGATGAGGTGCGGAAGGTGTGTCCTCAGTCAACTTCCAAACGACATTCAACCAATACCAGTCCCCAATGTTCAGTCTTGAATCCTGGAGTATCTGGCCGCACTGGCGAAGCCCATTTTAGAAGCGATTAACTCTACTAAGACAACATGAAAGCAGCAATCGAAGCATAAGATATATGAAGCCATTGAAGTGAAACATCTCGATCCATCACCACAGGCCTTCCTCAAGCTCCTGTTCTTGAGGTCCTTCAATGGTGTGACTCGTGTACACAAACAGGTTCTAACTCTTCCACGCCGCCTAAACCCGACAGAAGAGGCTTTGACTGCCGAATGACATTGAAACCGCCACCTATTCAACTTCTACGCGTCAACTTGTTGGAGATGAATGTGTTGTTAATTGTGCCGATTCACGCCGATTAACCTGGTCTTTGCATTCGCCACAACTCTGACCTCCCTATCGATCGAGCGAAACCGTCTGCTCATGCACGCCCTGTGTGTGTACCACCCTCCCCTCCACGACACCCACCTCATTCATTCATCTGATCATTCAGGTATTTGTACTTTTCCAGATTTTGATCGACAAGCCCGTGTTGCAGTCAACCACGTCGAGCCGTCTGCTATCTCTGATACTAGTGAGTACCTGTCTAGCTTAAGCGGGCCCATTCCACACATGCCGGGGTCTTCAAGAAATAATCGATAAAGGGGCCAACGAATCGGTTGTTCCTCCGCAAAACGGTCACCCAACATTTTCCGATTTCATTGCTTCGACCAGGAAGTCTGTTCATGGAAGAAGAAGAAGTCTGTGCGCAACACCGGTGAACACCTTACTGGTGGATGATGCCATATTTCCAGGGGGCCGTTAGAACAGCTGTGGTAGTTAGTATCACGTGCAGATATACTCGCCACAGAAAATAATGCTGTTTTTATACAACATTATCGAATACACCCTTTGCGCGTTGGATTGTGCCTGTGTACCAATGTTAGTAACTTTGGCGTTCTCAAAGACGCTTATCCCATTCGCTGTACGCCTTCGATCAATGACACCATGAGCGCACTCGCTCGACGGACACTACTGACCAGAAAATACTCAACAAGTGCCATTTCTGTCGGTGGTGAAAGATAATAAGGCTCAGACACCGATTAAACTGTCAGTTTTTGGTACAAGGGTCCGCTGATATTCGTGATGAAAGATTTCAGCAGTCGTTTCTCCTACCGGGTGACCCATTTTATAACTCATCAACGAAAAGTACGTACGTCATTTATTGATTAAAATCATATTGCTAAATGGTGCGGGGTTTCGTTCGAACCAATCGATTTCTGATTCCCCAGGTGGCCTTCAGACTACGTAGCACGAGCCAAGTGTCTTTTCGTCAATTTGATAGCACTGAAGTGCTAACCGGCTATTCATCACGCGCAGCGACAGCGCATAGCGAAATCCACTTGGTATGGTGGATTTCATCCTAAGAAAGGCGACGGTGTAGAGGCCCAAGTCGAATTCTGGCGACGTTCCAAACATGAAGGTGGCGTATTTCTTCAGCCAATTGGCGTTCCACATGAAGGCCACTGATAGCGTATTCTGCAGTCTGCCTCGTCTCTACAAGTGGACGAAGAACAGTGAAATACAATTACTTTGCGCCTGCTGATTGGTCAGTTCAAATGGGAAATGATGATGCCTACTTGTTCGTAGTAGCCAAAGTAGTCCAGTGCACCCTCGCTTTCGTGGAGGTACATTGGAAGCCAATAGTGGAATCCAAGTGTCTGCGACCCTCTTCCTTCTCCGAGGAAAACGTGCTCGAAGGCGCTGGAACTCAGTCGCCTGAAAAGAACAGATCCTAGAGGGTGAAATTGTGCTAAACGAAGTGCGTCATCTCGTCAAGTACCAATGATGATTGCGACTTCCTACCCACTACTGATTACATCTACACTTCACCAACGTTACCGTGGATCGCTTCAGCATACTCGACTTGTTTCAAATGTAACAGCAAACCTCGTACTTCCTGCGCTGGTAGCTTCTGAACCACATTTGAAACAGCAACTCTTTGAATGCCTTCTCTCCGGGAGAAATGAGTTTCCTTTCCTCGAGGTAGCCTCTGACCTTCTGCATGACTGCGGTCTGCATGACAGCAGTGATGAATTTCGACTGAGCTAGAAGCTTCTCTGAGCTGACTGTCTCATTCACCAGAATGTCTGGATTGTAGGACGGGATCAGTTCTATGAAGGCTACAAAGAAATTTGAAGCGACACCTGAAGAAGCGATTTCGTCGATTGCGTTGTGAACAAGTTCGATGTTTGGCTAGCGCATGCATTCGGAATTCAAACCAGACATGCAATTCATAGGTTATCAAGAAAGTTTTCGACTTATAGTAGGTCTTTTCGAAATCTGAATTAGGATTCAAAACTCAAAACGCAATAGATTTGGATTAAATCATTTGTTCAACAGACTGCAAGATTCTCCGTCCTGGAGTATTTTAATTCGTACTAGCGGAATACTTGAAGTTGGTTAAAATTCCCGTTCATTTCATCATTAGTCAAAGTTTCGTGATTTAAGGATTTGTGTGAACTTTGAGACAATGCGTAACCTGATGGCGCAATGTCACGGGAAATGCGTCGAAAGCGTCCTCACTAACCGTCCTTAAATAATCTCAACAATGGATTTATTTAAGCCAGTTATGATTGGTATATCTTGTTTCAGCAATCAACATCTTTCTCACGTGCACGGAAATGCCGTTTTGGGCTCTGTGAATTCAAATGCGCCCAAACACCGTGGTTACCGATTTAGTTCGCTAAGAATGGCTCCATTAACCAATACATTTTCAGCTCCTGCAAATCACCAGTCGGTTGCGTGTTTAAAACAAGCGTCATCACCTCGCTGACGCATAAGATTTTGTAAATATTTGTGCATTTGGATTGATGCAGGGTTTAGACGGTTTCACCACTGCAAAAAAAATATTCTTCATGTGAGACGTCGGGTTAAACATTTTACACATTTGAGACACACAAGAGAGCTGTTTGTGTTTAAATTGGGCGACGCAATCTGCAAAAATTTGGCATTTTGCATTAATCGCTATCTTGGGGTGACCAGGCCAAGAGAAGAACGAATCGTCACATGAGCCAATGGGATCGGGCCTACCTTGATAGGTTGGTGAAGTCAGTAGGCGGGTCTTGTTGACGTAGGAGAAGAGTGGTTTGGGTGCATTGTCCTTTGGGGGATTCGGCACGTAACCTTGAAAACAAACAACAAAATCCGACACAAGTTGACGGGTGGTCGGTGCTGATTTGTCAGCCTAGTGCACATATCCTTTTTTTCCACCAGTGAAATTCCACAAAATTAGTTATGGTATTTATTACTTTAAAAATAGCAGACCATATGAAAAATGCAATGTCAATGTCTAACTTAAATAAATGTGATAGTCATGCTAAACAATGCCTGTAGCCTCATTGGATGTGATTCAGGAACATTAAAGTGATTGTATTCTAACTCGAAGAGCCGTTGATTTCAACTAATTTATGCATTGAATTGTGCAAGCGCGTGCCTTGTGGGTCGAGAATTAAATCTTTGCCCAATTCTAAACGGTTCGCATCCAATTCCCACAATTCGGTGAAGAGATCTTCAAGGTCAGGGTACCTACAATAAAAAGAATGTAAACACTACCATGACAACGAGGAAATCTGTTTAAACGCTAATGTGGCGCCAATTTTAAACACACGACCGACTAGTGATGTGCAGGAGCCGAAAATGTTGTGGTAAAGAGAGCCATTCTTAGCAGACGAAATTGTGTGGGCACGCAATGCTACCTCGACAGGTCTGGAAGTATTCATCTTACTGTGCACGTCAAAGAGGCTTGGTAACTCGTGTGTTTGGGTATATTTGAACGCACAGAGCCCAAAATACCATTTCTGTGAAGGAGAGAAGGACGCTGAGGTTCGCGTCAGATTTCTGAATTTTACAGTGCTGTTAAGATTATTTAAGCATAGTTAACCAGCGATCCCACCAACCTAGTTAATTCGAACGTGACCAAATCACAAACACAATCGAATCGGATCACGGCGATATATCTGTGGGAAATGTCACAGAGCGAAATCCCCATTTACATTACAGTCAACTATTCGAAACATTGGTCTTGCGTGAGCTGAAATCATTTCGCTAAACCAGCTCCAATCGATATTTGTAGTGTACAATTCAAAACAACGAAGGTGACTCATTGTCGAGATGACTCATCACCGGTGAAGACACTTGGGTTTTCTTCGATAAAATCAGCTGAAATGAATGATGATTGGTCATTGCTGAGGTACCTCAAACGACATGGCAGTCAGGCTGGGAATTTGCAATCACGAGCTACCGAAATTGGATTTAAATTCCTACACATATTTGATGACATGTGGTTAGCATTTTAAACTTAGTTCGTAGGTAATGACTAGATTGTAAAATAGTCTTGTGCTGTATCAGAGATGAGTTGATCACACCAACCAGACACTAACTGTCAACATCCTGTGAAAGTAGATTGGGAAGGAGAGAATTAAAATCTTTTGGAGCATGCCAAGTTAGGCCTTCACGCATTGTTTGTGGTTTGTGGGCAATCATTTGAGCGTGGTTTGGACGTGATGACGCATCCTACTTATTTCGATCTGAGCAGAAATCTAGCTTAATAAAGGAAAAAATTAAAATATCAATAAAAAACAGAATCGTGTAGTTTGCTGAAAAATTGACTTTCAACTATTAAAATAGGAAACTAACACAACTGATTTACCTATGTTTAGACGAAACGATGGCTGAGAGGCAAATGACAAGGCCTGTGACAAGCTGCATGGTCATTCGCTCTGTGTACAACGACGCGCCTTAGTTCTAACCTTTTGGCCGCGCTTTAAAATGTCTGTTTACCCAATAGCGTACTTTTGACGTCAGTGAATTGTTTGATCACTCTGGTTTTCGTTGATGACATCAAAAATTTATTTGTTTCTGTGAGGTTACTTCATCTAACACCCAATTAATCGAAGCATAAAGTAAGTAACTAAGGGATGACACAGGAGATTTTTCAACAGGACTAAATTTACACATTTGAATTAGGAATTTTAAGGGTAATTAAATTACAACCAATGAATGTTGTTCGTGAGTCGTTTAAGTATCGATCGCCTAGCCGAGTAGCTTGGCCTTGGATTTGCAGCGAGTGCGATCGATCGATTCTCTACAGCTTCCCAAAATAAATAAATTAGTTGCAAAAATTTTTTTGATGTCACGATACGTGCGTGAGTGGTAAAGGTGTGAGTCACGTCTCAGCTGGATAAGGGGTGCTCGGGTGTCGAATTAAAATAGGGGGGAAATGAAGCGTCACTCCGCTGAGGTGTGAAGCAGACATCACACTAGCAAACTAGCAAGAAAGTTATTTCGGTTTGTAGTGTGAAACGAAAACATCTTTGCAATTTAGACCAGCAAAGTTTTCTCCTGCTGCCTGTTTCACAGAACTCAGACACTCTACAAGTTTTAACATGGATTAAAACGAAACAGATCATTTGGTCTGGACACAACTTCACACCCTCGTGTGTGATGAGCAGTCACGCTTCGGATCAACGGATTAATACGTAGATCCGTCCCCTGGTGACACGACGATTCCTCATTCACACCATTTTTCATGCTTGTCGCCTTCATTGACTCACTTTTTTAGTGATTGCGTGAATCCTCATCTAATACAGCCCATTTTCGCGAAAATTTCATTTCCTAATCAATAATCTTTTCGTGATCATTTCCTAAAAACGGTCTCCCAACGGATTACATGTGTTTGTATTGCTTAATTGCTGTAACTGCGTAATTTCCCTTTTGCTACAGTCTTAAGGCTGTCGTCAGCTTCTTCCATTAAAGTCTCAAATGCGGAGGTCAGGGGTGTACGGTGGGTGACGAAGTTGATTTTTTTCATTTCAACACCCCTCTAGTTTTCACAATGTCGTTTAAGCAGCAAGTGGTTTAGCCTATTCTTAGTGAAAATTGACCCCGATTTGGCTAACCAAATTTGGGCAATTGACTCGAACGAACCAATTCCCTTCAATTCTGTGAAACACAATATAAATTACTAAATAAGGAGCATCGACAGTACCTACGGGCGTAGCACTGGTTTGTCAACAGGTTGTGCTGCGCGGTGATTGATCAGCCGCTCTCAATTACGTCGAATTTGATAAAAACCAAATAAAGTGGTGATTAGTTATTTCGTGACTAGATTCTACACGAACCATTCAAACCCACGCTACGTTAATCAACTTCTACGTTATATTGAATCGCTTCGTTGCAGGAAGCGTAAGACTTACACCCGACAACGACCAAATTGACAGACAAATAACATGTCGATAAAGACCACTGGAACGGCCAGTTAGTACTTTCAAGGTGACATTTCATTACAGGTACGAATAAGGGAAATTTCGTGCATCCAAATTTTCATTTATGTTTTTAATTCGGATGTGAAGTCTCGAACTTCACCAAAGAGCCGCATTGTACTTGCCCTCATATTCAAGAAGGCTAAGGAGACTGCGGATGGCAGGGACACAGGGGTCTACTAGACAGATCAACCTACAGGAGATGTCTGGCAACAAGGTCGAAGACTGTGGGTGAACATGTACCAGTGTAAATAGCCGAATAGCCAAGGTAATGCAACGAGTGGCGTGGGGGAAGCACACGCACAGGATTGGCTGAAATGGCATTCCGCATGATCGATAAAGTCGCCATGACAGGGGGAGAGTGGGGAAGCTGAGGTTTCGACGATTCGCACATGGACGGGAACACTAAGATTTACAACATATGTATACCGATCATAATGTTACTGCATTTAAAAGTTGAGCACATAGAAGAAGTGGCCTCACGATATCTCCTTCAAAATAGTCACTTAAAAAAAGTGCAATCGTGCGTAAGTGCAATGCGCAAAGATAAATTTCAGTAAAGAAGGAATAGCAAATAGAAAGTGTAGGTATGAGAGTGCAGAAGCCGAGAGTACAGCAGCGTTTTTGAGAATGTAGTCCTGATTTGATGTTTAGAAAAACACTAATAACCAAATTATCGGTTTAGTTTCAAGTAAGTGAATGATATTAATAATTCTGCAGGGGCCTATTATCAAAGTTTAGTTTCACGTGATCTTTTTAAACCTTTGTTATAGATTTGTGGAATTTCCGGAATAGCACAACACAAAAGTATAAACTAAGTGTTCCTCACGACTTAAATCTTTCTAAATCTTAATATTATAACTTCTTTTCTCCATGAATTTGTAAGCAGATTATATTACTCCCTACTTTATTGGAACAAGTAAACAGTAAAATATAAAGGAAAGTCCATTCCCTTAATATTTCAAAATACATGTCGTCATATTGGACTAGCCGCAGACTTAGACTCCACTTAATGTTCCTAGACGGCCAAAAGTGTCGAATAACAAAGCCCATAGTTTTAAAATTCAAAACCCATCTTTGCGGAACACAGGAAGTCGTTGTTAACGCGCATCTACTACAAAATAGACTATGACATTTTATGCCAAAACTGTACTTAAAGCTCTTTATCCTTTAAAAGCATGTAATTTGTACTGTTTAACACTAAGGGGAACATTTGCTTCTTAAAAACAGAGTGCTACAAAAGGAAATGAGATGATCTAAATGACGAATTGGTCGTAAATTTTTTGCACATAATGATTTCAAATTTATGGAAGTACCATTCGGATTTTAGCTTTATTCTCTCGACTTCTTAGGTATTCCTAGACATACTTATTAGGTTGTCTTAGAACCAACAAGTTAATGAAAAATTATTTACCTTATTGTCGTCAGATGATGGCCAGTCAAAAGACTGATGGAGATTTATATTCATGTTATAGCAATACCGCTGCATTCCATTAAATCTTAAATGATTTCTAGTTGTTCTAATTAAGTTGTCTTATATCTTACAATTTTGCTAAATAATTGTTCTATTTCTGTATTTTGTCAGATGAAAGCCAATCAAAAGATCGTCTGAATATTTTTCAGGATCAACTAAGCCAATTGAAGTAAAGTTCACCTCGAAATGCCAAAACTGCCAAATCTAATACAATAGCCTGTATGTGCACTGATGGTTGCTCAGGTGCGCCAAATTCTGTTGATATAATTTTTAGTCAGTCACCGAGCTGCTGCGTAGTTATCTTTCATCGTAAAGCATTTTAATATTATGATGATTTTATATATAGAGTAAATGGAGTAGTTGGAATTTATATATCGGACAAAGATGGGGCGAGAATGGTTGGAGGTAGTTTCCTTTTGCAGATATCTATTCGAGTAGTGTCTATTGAAGATGCTCCCGAGCAAGCTTTTATGAATTATGTTGTTACAACATTCATTGGATCAATCCAGCAGCTATGCAAACTTGGACTCGGAGAAGTAAATCATATGATAACTAAATATCAAGATATGACGGTAAGTGCTCGTGTCTCATGGCAGTTTGATCAACCTGCTTTTGATGACAGGTAATAGGATTAATTAATATACGTTTGACTAGTCTGGCTGTTTTTGTTTTGCCCTTCCACGTGAGACACGTCCATGTTGGAATCGAATGATGTTCTGTTTGAGCACTATGCATTTTTACGTTACCCTCTGCTTCGCATTCCTTATAGGTTTAATCTTAAATCAGTCTTACTTTGAATGCAATTATGACATTCCTTCGAAGTGTCCAACAATGTCCATGTCAGTTGTTATTTTTTTCATAGATTTGCCAGTTTAATTACATTGGCGACGAATCAGTGCCCCCTGTCTATCTTACCGTAGTTGGAACGAATAACTGCGATCTCGGTTCGTACCCCATTTCGTTATTCAATCTTGTTTTTTTTAACTAAGTGTGCATTGCCCTATTTTTACTAAACTACTTAATTTTTGGAGAATTGGTTGCCTGTGTTTAATCAAATATGCCACTTAGACTTCTGTGTTCGCTTCCAACATTCCACTTCTTGATATAGCTAATATTTTTGTTATTCGGTTTCCCTATCTTCATCTTGATCCTCTCGCTTTGTAGTCATAGTGGTTTACTGCATCCATTTAGGTGTATTAACCTCTTTGGAAGTCCCCCTCCGTCCAATCCTTCAGGCTCTTTCCAAGAAAGCTGCCGCGCGTTTTCAGTCGGAGGCAATGATGACTCGTAATGATGCCGGTGACCACTTTTATCGGGTACTTCATGCAGACTCTGCTTGAGTGCACAGTCTTTTGTAAACTCAGCGGTCTTTTTGATTCACGTGAATGCAATATTATGACTCGAATCAAGTCCGATTAGTTTCCTGTCAACTATTCTGATTAGGTCCCGTTTGTTACTTTAAAGGATTAGCAGGTTTTGATGTGACAGTGTAACAATTAGAAGGAATAACTTTCAAATGGTGCTGATGTATTCGTTATAATTTAGCGCCTCGGGAGTGTAAAATAGTTTTGCTTGGATAATTATTGGTTGCATTGAGTCATTACTGTTTGTTAAAAGCAAAAAGGCGGTGAGTTTAGCTGGCAGTCTGATCTCCTGGCGCGGTTTCATATCCCAACATGGCCGATAACCTCATAGACACAGCACAACAAGGAACGATGGACGTTGACAGCGCAGGGCCTGACTAATTTATTGCTACTGAACAAACACTGTCCTTATGTGTGACAGGGAGTTAGTTTAAAAGGGACGCTTGAACTCCAATATCTGGGCTGACGTTGCTACATAAAATAATTAAAAACTATTTAATAGAAAAAATTTTCACTCATGCCCGGAGATATGTGGTGATCGCCAGCAGTCTTCAATGGATCTTGCTTAGCTGTCGATGCTGACTTTACTTTTATGGACTGCCAGTTGCAGCAATTCATAAATTATTATGGTAAAATCTGTATTCAGAGGCCGTGGATGTCTGTGAAGTGTTAGGTGAACTACCTTGTTATAAAATCATACTCAAATAAAGACGTGCCGAGACCGCAACGGGATATCTGACATAGACGATGCCTGATTGTCTTTAGATTTGTAATGAGGCTAGTGGATGATTGGGTATTTATGGTGCACTAACGTAGGTAGACAATGCGGTTGCCAGATATAAAGATTGATTGGTGACTCCAAAGGACCAGGAATGTGTAAAATGTCTAACGAGTAGAGACGTATAAGACGAGATTATAATCAGTCTGTTCCTCAAGGGTAGTCGTACAATCAGGGCTGACAACCTGACAAGTGACAGAAGAATAATTTTAGGAAACTAAATTAGTCCAAATGACCATTAAGGAAGTTAGATTGTTGAGATTGTAGGAAGAGAGTTAGCATAAGAACAGGCTAAGTATGGCCGTAGGAGTGGGCAGACCCATTGGCGCTGCCTGAGAAAGGGGAATTAGCGTCGTAATTTGACCTAACGTTAACGTTGAATTTGGCTCTCAAACGCGGTTTTTTTGGGTTTAGCGGCTTGGTTATATGTCATCAGAATATCATATTAAAGTAGAATTCTCTTATTTTTAGAGGTCATCTAAAATACCTGCAATAAGGTGTAGAAATAGTCAAGTCACAGGCAATATCGTGATGGCCAGACATGCTGCTATACTAAATAGAAAAAAGTCAAAAATTATAGAATAACCGTAACTCTGATATCTCTTTTATTAGAACTACCTTCCATAAGGAGGACTCTTAATTTTGCTAGGAAAAATAATTTATATACTTGAGGCTTTTATCAAAATTCAACCCAAGTAATGAAGATTATTTCTTTAAGAAAGAATTTTGCTCTGTTAATAATATATTTACTTAAAATAGTTTGATCTATTTATCTAAAGGGAAGTATTAGGTAGATTGATTGAGTTTATTTTCATAAAAAATTCAAGACAAATATTTCTATTCCAAAAGTAAAGATTTGACAGCTTTATTTAAACACTATTTTTAATGACACTTATTACTTTTGAAAAAATCAGTTTTCTAATACTATATATCATTTATTGCCTTGTAGAATCTGACATAATCTTTTTGAGATTGTTTGTTTTAATGCATATTTGCTCACTTTTGAAGCTGCTGGGTCGCACGCTGTATATCTGAGGCGTTCTTGCAATGACGGAGGAAATTCTCTATCGTGGAACACTCGATGGTCATAGGGACTGGGTCACCCAAATAGCGACTAATGCTCAACATCCCGAGATAATTCTCTCTTCTTCTAGAGGTGAGTGCTACGCTATTACATTTATTCTTCAGATTCTTCAATTATTGTTTGGGATCTTCAGGGACACCAAGGTAAATTTGGCGTCCCCAAGACCTCCCTAACTGGCCATAATCACTTTGTCAGCGATGTTGTAATGTCGTGCAATGGAAACTTTGCGATTTCCGGTTCCTGGGATAAAACTCTTCGCTTGTGGGACTTGACTGTTGGTCGTTCTGCAA